TAGAGAGGCCTTTAAAATAAGGGTCAATCAATCTATCCTCAAGTCAACACCTTGAATTTCACAATTAAAAAAAAAACAAAATAAAAATTTCATTTTTGATTCCCACATAAACAACAGACCCAAAAACAAATCCCCAAAGAGGGACCTAAAAGACTTTTTAGCTCCAATTTTTTATTTTTTACTTTTTATTTTTATTTTTTTATTTTTTTTGTTTTCTTCTCTTCCTTTTTTCCCACTTCTTCTAATGTAATACTAATAATAAAAATAATAATTATATTTTCCAATCCCAATCACAAAACCCTTTGGAACTAAAAATATGCATTCATTCATCTCACCCCAAGCAAGCCCACTCTCACCCTAACCCATATCAGGACGCGTGGGACACACTCGCTTGCCACATCTTCAAAACAAAAAAAAAAATATATATATATATAATATAAAATAAAATAAAGTAACAGATAGAGAAAAAAAAAAGAAGGCTATAAATAGCAAATATTTGTTCCATCTCCTTTATTTCTTCCTATTTCTCAGACCCAAAAAAAATCTTGTATCAGATCTTGACTTCATCTTTAATTTTCTTCCCCCATACAAAATCACCTGACCACCTGTTTTGATTGTTCTCGGCCAATAACAGCCCACCGTGCCCTCCACGCGCCAAGACACTTGTTAAAACTTTCCCCACTTGCTAATAATTGATGTATACAAATCTTGTGTGTGTGAGCCAATTCATTGAATTATAAAATATTATACTTTTACCTATTTTAATTAATGTCAATATGTATATCTGTTAAAAAAAATATAGTTACTCATCGAACGCTCTCGTGTCTACAATGGACTAGAATTGATATGTCTATCAACCGATGTAATAGAAAATTTCATATAATTAACACGATGGATATGGTATTCAAAAGTTTACGAAATTATGACATGTGGCTGGTGGGCACATTTTAATGTAGTCAAGTGAATATGCAAGTACTTTTAATTTTGAGTTGTGTAAATGTTTAAAGAGCATAAGACCTGATTTGTGTAAACAAAATTGTGTGGAATTTATATGTTCTATATATAAAATATAGGGAAATGCTAAGGTCTTGTTACGGAACAATTCTGTCGGGGTTTGTAACTGTCATATATCATCATGTAACTGTCAGAAATAATTGATCTAACGATTACAAATATCGACGGAATGGTTCCATAACGGGACCGTATCATCTTCCTAAAATATAATTAACATTTTAGTAGATGAAGGAATTATTGAGATGAAGAACCCTTTTTTTTTTCTCTCTTGGCTTTCTTTTGAGTAAGCACACAAACTCTAAAAAGGGACATTAAAAAGAAGAAAA